GAACGCTCTGCCCGCGTCCCTCCGCACGCGCTCTGACAGCAGTTAGGCATGCGCACGATCATGTCGGGGGGCCCATATGCAGGCGGTTGCGCCGTGTGCATTGCCACGCGATGCAGTTACATGCAGCATGATGGAGTTACGTGCTGCAAATTAGAACTGCCATCAGGGCCTGCCGATATTCCTGGTCGTCCGGCTTCCCCTTTAATTCCCGTGGCCATTATAACCTTACTCTCTTCAACCTATCTATCGCGCCCCACAACACAACAAGCACACCCACGACAACACATAGAGAGGGGATGTCCAGCGGCGCTCCAATGGAGTTCGGCGAGCATAGAGTGGAGACCCACGCGAGGGAGACGGATATCTCGGGGGTGTACACCATCAACCCGGCTGTGGTGGACGACTACATCAACAACGTTGAGCAGTTGCTTGCTGGAGACAAGTACAAGGTGGTCGGCATCGACCTCCGGTACACCGCCGGTCGTCCCGGCATAGATCAGAAGGTTGTCGTCGCCCAGTTGTGCATGTGCCATCATGTCCTCATCCACCACCACTACATGGCCACAGAGCCTTGCGACCGTTTGAACAGGTTTGTCAGCAGCACCGACTACAAGTTCGCCATGGTGGAAACCAAAGAAGATGTAAATGTGCTTAGTGTTACGGGCTTGGTCTGCAAGAACCTTGTCGAAATCCGTGACCGCTACAGGGTCTGGGGCAGCACGAAGAAGGACTCCTTGGTCGAGCTCGCCTCGGCCATCATCGACCCCTACTACGAAAAGATGAAGCAGGATGCCTAGAGAAGAAGCCCCCTATCCTAGCACAAGGCCTGGATGCGGCAACTCGATGAACCTCACCTCAGGTTCGCGACCAAGAGCGTGTACACATGCTACGAGATGCACATGCAGACCGTTGACATGAGGAAGTGCCTCGTTACCCAAATCGACGAGCCCGGATCAAGCCACAAGCAGAGCAAGCGTCACAGGAAGTAGATGATGATTAGATGATCATTTATGCTAGTTAATCATGCATGTAATATATAGTTTACTTTATTGGTGTGTGGAAATGTCATGTGTGTAGCAGCCACCTATCTAATTATGCATGTAATAGTTTACTTTGGTGTGTGCAAATGCCATGGTTGTAGTAGCCACCTATGTAAGTGGATGTTTAATTTGGTTATGCAAGCATGTACTTATAAGTGTGTGTGTGTGTATGTTGTTGTTCTGTATGCAATCCCATCGCACAACACACACGTCTTATTAGCAGCAACCGTTTGTGTTATTATCGGTATTCACACACATTTCTGATCACATACCTGTTTGCTGCATATCACACACATCTTGTTCATTTGAACTGTTTCTGTTCTCATGTCTCAACGCAAACAGTTCATTCGAGTGAAACGCATGCCATATATCGCACACACCTTTGATCTAGCTAACCGTTTCCATTGTATTTCCTATTCACAAATAGTTCATCTGAGTGAACCGTATTCCGTACATCGCACACACCTTCATCTGGCTATCCGTTTCTTTTGTTCCTCCTCATCGCAAACAGCTAATTAAGATGAACCGTATGCCCTGACTCACACACGGAGCTAAAATATGAACCTTGTTTGATGCATCCTCCATCGCAAATGTTTTGCACCTTTTTTGACGGTTTTTTAACACCATTGTTTGCGACTATGGCATCGCACACAGTTTCGTCAAAAGGTCTATGATCGTAGTGTCGCGTTAGCAGCATCCTACAGTAGTGTATATAATCCTAAGAGTCAAAACATTTTTGTTCTAGACTCAACAATGGCAGTGGTTCGATCAATCAAGGGGGCTCCTAAGGTCGATAAGGCTCTGATACCAACTTGTAGCGTCCAAGATGCGATTCTATCCCAATCACGTGATGAACTCATGATTGGGCCACAACCGCATTTCAAACACATAGCAAGGTGGATATCATTACAACATACCACTTATTGAATAGATGAGAATACAAGATAAAGGCTTACACTCGCCACAAGCTACAACATAATATAACAGTACAACAATACATAGCAATCATCATACAAACGAACATGATCCAACTACCACTGAAATCAAACGAAAAGGAGAACGACAACCACCCTGCTAGCCTAGGCTCCCCGACCCAGAACCTACCCCTTGATCGAAGAAGAAGTGGAAGAACTCCAAAGCATTCGAGCATCGCTCTCACGTCAGACCATCGCATTACCTGTACCTACAATTGTTGTTGTAATAATCCATGAGCCACGAGGACTCAGCAATCCCATTATCATGGGTATCAAGACTAGAAAAGCTTAATGGGTATGGAAAGGATAAGTGGTGAGGTTGCAGCAAGCGACTAAGCACAGTATGGTGGCTAACTTACAAGTACAAGAATGAGATGAGAAACTATGCAACGGTCACAAACTAGTAATGATCAACAAGTGATCCTGAACTACTTACGTTCAAACATAACCCCACCATGTTCTCTTCTCGAATTCACTCGAAAAGAGATGGTCACTGTTACACACGCTGTTGGTGTATTTTAATTCGGATATGGTCACTGTTCACTACAACCGGATATTAACAAATTCCCATCTGTCACATAACCGTGGGCACGGCTATCGAAAGTTTAAACCCTACAGGGGTGTCCCAACTTAGCCCATGACAAGCTCACGATCCGCGGAGACAATCCTCCATTGCGGGACCCTTCGATCAGACTCGGAATCCCGATGCACAAGACATTTCGACAATGGTAAAACTAGTCGAGCAAGACCTCCCGATGCACCGACCTACCCTAATAGGAGTTGTGCGATCTCGTTCTCAGGATACACCGGATGGGACAAGCTACGAGTAAAACCATCGCTCAAGTTTCCCCGAGGTGGCCTCGCAAGCTGCCCGTTTGGAACCAACACCATCAGTACTGGCCCCTGTATTAGGTTGAATAACGAACCTCGGGTAGTGCTAACTCCCTATGCGTCAATTTATTATCATGTTTAGTTATTATGTTGAGAAAATGGTAAAACCAATGTTGAGCCTTGCTGGAAAAGTTTTATTCAAAGTGAACTTTCAAGAGGGCCCCATAAACCCTCATCGTGTTAGGGGCGCAAAATCAAGAAACATAACACCGATATGACGGAAAATAGGGCGGCAAGACTAGAACAAAACACCAGGCAAAAGGTAGAGCCTTCCACCCTTTACCAAGTATATAGATGCATTAGCTAAATAGGAGATATTGTGATATCCCATGATATCCAAGTCCCAACATGGAACAACCTGAAACTACAGCTGCAACTAGCAACGCTAGAAGAGGGTCTGAGCAAAGCGGTAACATAGCTAAACAATAGTTTGCTAGGAAGGGTAAAAAGGTTAGAGGTTATCATGGCAATTTGGGAGGCTTGATAAACAAGTGGTAGGTGGCGCGACATAGCGATAGCATCGAGACAACTAGCATAGAAAAGTTAGTAGTGAGATCCAAGGTGACGGTCATGTTGCCTGAAATACCGCTAGGAAGAAGAACGAGTCCATGAAGAAGACGAGCCAACGAGTCGAACGGATCCTCACAATCACAACGTAACCGAAACTATCGAGAAGGAGCACAACCGAAAAGAAGCAAACAACATAGTAAACAACCATCACATAAACATGGCATGATGCACAACCAAGTATGATGCATGTCTGAAAATGATGCCACAGCAACATATCAGTTTCGATAGCTCATGGAGATACCGGTGCAAAAGGAAGTGTGGCGGGAGCGTGTTATGCAAGGATGGTGGGGTGATCCTGAATCGACGGCATGGCAAATGAGGAACGAGCAAGCGACAATTCAAACATGGTGCAAACATGGGAATCTCATACAACACATCACATGCATATAGTCCAGGGGTGTCGTTCCGGCGATTATACCTTCGAAGCGTGCGTTTTGGGGTGGATGGGTTCGATGCGGTGTAGATTTTCATGGGTCGTAGTGGAAGTAGTGGTTCATGCGACGGTAGTCGAACTTGCTTCTTATGGTACACGGGTTGTCGGCAACGGTAGTGGTACATGTTGTAGTCGTTGTAGTCGAACTTGATGGAACATGGGTGTCATGGTACTTGGCAATATCCGGACGGTCTTGGCGTTTCGGTGCGGTGTAATGGTACATATCAACGGTCATCGTAGTACTTTGTTCCGGTCCTAGAGTCGTACTAGGCATCAGTGGACCTTCGAGGGACTTGCGTATCCGAAGGGGTATTTGGCGCTTGTGGTCCAAATCTGAGGTCATAGCCGCGTAGTCGAACTTGGCGATCCGCATAGGGTACTTGGCGCTATTCCCTGTTCGGTGGTCGAACTTGGCATCAACAGCAACAGCAAGTGTTGGTGCATGATGATAGCGGGGCGTCGCGGTCGTCCACTACGCTGGACAGGGCATGCAGGTCGTGGTGGTACTTGTCGGTCTCAGTCACGGCGTTCCTGGTCTTGAGGAAGTACCCGAAAGAGAGCTTAGTGTCCGCGGGGACATGGAGCTGCGGTCTTGGCGTCGGGCAGGGGATCAAAGCCTCATAGGCCAACGAGGGCTATGTGTGAGTGTGCTGCAGGAGAGGCCAGAGTTGGGCGGATGGCAAACCCGTTCCCGGCAGCGGTGTGGGAAGCCGGAGGTGGCTTGAGGCGTCTGTTAAGAAGGCGGCCCCCATGGCAGGTCGAAGAGTGGTCAGGCGATGCAGGACGAGCACGTCCACGAAGCAGAGGGCTCCCGGCGCGGCTCAGGTGAAGCAAAGGCAACGGCGGTGAGGCTCGAGCGGCTTGCTCATCGGCAACGGCTGGAGGCGGAGGTTGCCAGCGGATGGAGGCGAACGGGTTGGTGGCTCGGGCAGAAGGCCATGGAGGGGCACGGCTGGCAAGGATGGTGCAAGCAGAAAGGAAGGCTAGCGGCCGAAGCTCGAGGCAGGGGCAGCACGCGAGGTGGTCAGTAGAGGGGGATGGTGGCGGAGCTCGGGGCAAGGGGCGGCGCCATAGGAGGGGTTCGAGGCAGATCGAGGAGAGGGATGAGGGGCTCGAGCGAGAGGGGCTCCCCTGGAGGCACTATCGGGAGGAGGACGAGGGGGGTCGAGAGAGAGATGTGGATCGGGGCTGCATGTGAGGGATCGGGCAAGCGACGGCGGGCAGAGGGAATGAGGGAGTGGGATCGAGAGGAGGGGTCAGGCCTAGGGTTTAGACGAGGCACCGGCTAGTTGGATTTGGGCCATAGGAGAAAAAAATGAATGGGCCGGCCTGGGGGCTGAGGGAAGCAGGGGGACTGGCTGTGCCGCTCTATCTCCCTCCAAATTCTTTCCTTTTTAATTTTTTAGAATAGGAAAAACTTAGAGGAAAAGAATGGAAGGGTAGGAGTGGAATTCCAACACGTGACATATTTTCCCGGAGACAGAAAAATATAGAGGATTTAATAAAAAAATGTTGGAGAGAGTTTAGAATATACAAATTCAAATACGTTTGAATAAAACTCAAACTATTTGAATTTGGAAGCAATTTAAATGGAGACCAAAAGAGATGAGATAAGAACTCTAGAATCTGGAAACAGAAGAGATTTGAAATGCAAGTTTGTTTGGGTTGATTTCATACGAATGGAATATTTATTGTAGCTCCATAAAATATTGGGAGGATATGTTATAAAGAGAAATCACCATGTGCATTCCCTCAATTTAAATGGATCGAATATCCATGCAAATTATTTGGTTTAGTTTTAAAATTAAATGACATGATGGCATGATGACATGATGCAATGCAAAAATAAGTAAATAAAATAGAGCAAGCAAAAGAAACACACGGTAACATCAAAATATATGGAAGTCTTCTGGAGCGTCGGTCTTGGGGTGTCACACTCCGCCAAGTGTTCTTCGGCATAAGCGATGAGAACTCGACTGTTAAGAACTACCATCAAATGGGCTTTCTCTGCCATTTTCCGGGTGCAGCCATTTGCGTGCCAGCAAGGACTAGTTTGCCTTTCAGCCTTCCCTCGTGGCGAGAGAGGGGCAAACCTATAGGTCTTTGTTTCATGTATTAAGTGCAAAACTCAACCACCTCCTCCACGGTATAACCTTGTAGGATGCTTTCCTCTGGGTGGTTTCGGTTCCGACAAAAGCGCTTCAGTATTCCAATGAACCGCTTGAAGGGATACATATTGCAAAGAAACACATGACCACAATACTTTATCTCGTCGACAAGGTGCACTGTGAGATGGACCATGACATCAAAGAATGGCGGTGGGAAAAACATCACTAGGTTGGACAATATTCTTGCAATATCATCTTGCATATGATCCAACTCTTCAGGATTTACAACTTTCTGCCATAGTTGGTTGAAGAAATCACAGATGTCAATGAGTGTGATTCTGATATCTTTGTCCATTAGATCCCTAATGGCTACCGGGAGGATTTGTGTCAACATTACGTGTCAATCATGTGACTTCATGTGTCCCAACTTCATTTTACCTGAGCTCACATCCACGAGACTTCTGATGTTTGTGCAGTAGGAAGAGGGTGTCTTAACTGACAACAAATAGGTGAAGAACTGTGTTGTTTCTTTTGTACTGAAATTGTAACTCTAGCGAGCTTTGATGAATTTGTCATTATCTTCTTCTTCACCCTTGCGTTTTGATTGATCAGCAAGCATATCGAGCCGTGAACCGTCACCATCCTTTACCTTTAATCTTGAGCAGGGTATGAAGGATGCTTTCACATACGTTCTTCTCTACGTGCATGACATCGATGCAGCGACATACACGTGGAATCTCCCAGTAAGGTAATTTCCAGAACACTGATTTCTTCTTAAACACTTGACCCTTGGGTGTTTGTTTCACCGTCAAAGGGTGGTTCTTGCCAAGCACAACATTAATTTTTTTAGCCATGTTGTGGACCACCTCCCCGTCATAGGGCCTTGGGACCGCACCTGCCTCTGCCATACCATAAAATTTAGCTTTCATCTTTCGATATGGGTGATTTTTCCGTAAGAACCTAAAATGACGAAATACATTGTTTTACACGAGTTGGGAAGTCTTCTGCTAGTTGTCCTATCCATGCATGTGACACACGCTACATCTCCCTTTTGTTTTCTGCCCCGATGTGTTGCCTAATGCCGTCATACCTTGAATGGTGTGCACCAGCATCGCATGTAGATCGAAAATCTCCTTTATGTAAGCAGCATAACATTTTATAGCGGGCACATCTATCCACATTGTTAGCAGCTCTTCTAACAATAGCTGAAAGCAAATGTCGATGTCATTTCCACGTTCCTTCGGGCCGTGGATAATCATTAACATCATAATGTATTTTTTCTTCATACACAACCAAGGAGCTAGGTTATATATGCACAGAAGCACCGGCCATGTGGTGTGATTGGTGCTCATATCGCCAAAAGGATTCATCCTGTCAATACACTCCTCGAGCCTTATACTTCTAGGATCCTTGGTGTCACACCCTAGCTAGTTCATGCATTAGAGTGTTGCATCATGTCTACTTTTATAGAAACTTGAAATGGGGATGACAGAACCCCCAGCACCCCCCCGGAAACAACTATGGTTTACTAAATATTTTCAATGAACCCAAAATGCCCTTCACAAAATGTTCATCATTTCTAGATTGGGCTAAAACCCTGGCAAAAATGGTGCACTCTTTTCTAGGACATTCTGGATTCTTTGAATTAAATCATAAGTATTTGAATTTGGCCATTTAAATGCTATAAAATATTTTAAATGCTTAAATAATTCTAGAAATAAGTGTGGGCTGTTGGAAATAATCTAAACAGAGCCTATGATTATTTTCAGGATTTTTGTAAGTGCCTAGCTATTTTTAATAAAGCTCAACAGTTACAGAAAAATAGAAAAAGAAAATAAATCAGAAAAAGAGACGGAGAGAAACTTACCTGGCAGCCCACTGGCCGGCCTAGCACTGTGCTGGCCCGTGCCAGCCAGCTGTTTCCCCTTGACAGAGCAGGCAGGGAGGTGAGCATGGCGTGCCCGAGCTCGCCACGCACCACCCAGCCTCTCTGCTTCACCCTGGTCGCCTTTGCGCCACGTGGATTGTCTCCTGGTCGTCGCCCCGACCTCGCCGACACCTCATTCCTCCCCCTGCTCTCTCCCTCGCTCCCCCGAAGCCACGGCCGACGCAGCCGCCGTCGTCTTGCCACCGTAGCCGTAGCCACCGTCGTCCCCGTGTCACCCCACCGTGCCCACGAGCTCCGCAGCATCTCCCTCGACCTCCTCGACGAGCCACGAGGCCTCGGACGCATTGCAACGCCGCCACCGCTGCCGTTCCCCTCATCGGCCACCGGAGATCGTCGCCGATGATTCGCCGCCTCCCAAGCTTCCCCGAGCCTGCTTCGACGCCCACTGCACTCGTCGTGAGCTCCTCTCTCTTCTCCCCCTAGCCACATCGCTCGAGCTGCCCTCTAACCTCGTTGGCCATCACGGCCGAGAGCTCGGCTCCGCCGCCATGTCGCCGCCGTGGCCATAGGCGCGTAAGCTCGAATCCGAGTGCGTCACCACACTCACCACGTCCCCAGGAGCCTAACGCACCACTCCACGTGCCTCGCCGTGCCCCGTAGCCTCGGGTTCATCTTCACCCGAGCTCCGGCGACCGCCAAGGTCACCGTCGGCATCGTTCCCGGCCTCCCCGAGCTCCACATCCACCACCAAACGATGCAGCTTGCTCCCCGCGTTACGTAGCTGCTCTCCGCCATCGATTTAGTCGCCGGAGACGCAAACCCGAGCCCCTCCGCCGCGTCTGTCGTCGCCGGCGTCAAGCCGCCGGCGAGTTGACCATGTTTGACCCATGTGGGCCTAGGTTAACTTCCCCCCTGAGCCAATGACAGGTGGGGTCGGCTTGTTAATTAGTTTAGGATTAGTGCTAACTAAATTTAGTTAGTTTAGGTCACTGACATGCGAGCCCAGGCCCCACTGACAGTTAGTTAGTACTAACTTAATTCTGTTAGTTAGCTGAGACATTGACAGATGGAGCCCACCAGTCAGGTTTGACCTGGGCTGGCGCCTTTGACTCGCTGACATCATAGTGATGCAGTCCTGACATAGTTATTTAATTTCTGGATTTATTCTTATATAGGAAATTCCAGAAAATAGCCAAAACTTCCAAAAATCATAGAAAATCAACCATAGCTCCAAATCAAACAAATTATATATGAGAAATGATCAGAAAAATTCAATATTTCCATCTGTAATGGTTTCATGCATGACAAAACACTTTAACCATGCTGTTTAGGTGAAACAAGCTAATACACTTATTATGCATAAGAACTTAAGCTTTCATTTGAATCTTTGATTCAAATGGACCCATTTCAACTTGTTTCACATTGCATTAGGCAGGACACATCATTTTGCCATGTCATAGCATGCATCATACTGTTGCATATTGCCATATGTTGATTATGTTATGTGTGTCCTTCGTGGTAGGTTCTGCCTCTGAGGATATCTCCGAGTATCCAACTAAAGGGCAGTACCCTACTACCACTCCATCAGGAAAGCAGCCCCATTGATCATATCGATACAATCCCATGTTCTCGCCTCTGCTCTCATTTACTGCATTAAGACAACAATGTTTCAAACTGCTGTGTGCTGCGGTAGTTGAAACCTTATCCTCTGCATGACCTGTCATTGCCACAGTAACTAGATGAAACCCACTAGCAT